GGACGGGTTAGCTGTTGATCTGCACTGCTGCCGCCTGGGGATGGATGTCTGCTCAGGAGCCTCAGCTGCTATTGGGGGTGGGGCTCCATGCCCACTAGTCACTGCTACTGTCGGGAAAGGTGCCGGGCTCCCAAGCTGGTCCTACTGCTGCTGGGAGTGATGCTCAGCTCCGATCAGGCTGCTGTTGTGGGGGATGCTGCAGGCTCCTGGCTGGTTGTTGCTTCCCTGAGCAGGTATCTTGACAGTGCCACTACTGTGCATTGGTCCATGTTGACACAGCAGGGTCCACTGGTCCCACGGTGTAAGGCGCACTAGTGGACTCAGATTGATAGGCCCTGGGTGCTTCCACTGCCTCCTCCCAGAGAAGACCAGGGATCTTCCAAAATGTCGGGGCTTTCCAGCCACACAGGGAGAAGTGCCCTGATAAGCTGCTAACTGCAGTAGTTGGCTGCTCCTTGTCCACAGCACAGGAACCCTCTGCCCCACGTTTCTGCACTGCTTGGTTGCTTGTCCACACTCAACATCCACTCACACTCACATTCACTCAAACTCACACACTCACCCTCACTCCAGTCCTGCCTGCCACCATTTTTCCAATAATGTTTTTTAAAAGTTAATTTTGCCTTAAAAACCTGGTTATGGTAAGTAGTTGATCAAATCCAAGTGTTATTGTTTTCAGTTAAGCTCCAGTTAAAATTCTGTAGCTTGGGTAGGAATTGCCTCAGGACCCTCTCTCTCTTCCTGGCCCTTCCTCTGAACCTGCTCCTCCTTTCGTTGGGCTCCAGATCGCCTGCGAGTCTGTTGCTGAGATGTGTGTGTGTGTGTGTGTGTGTGTGTATGTGTGTGTTTGTGTATGGGGGGCTTGTCACTTTGGTGCCTAGGGCTTGTCTGTGAGATCTGGAAGGCTTCTGGCTAATCAAAAGTGTTCTTTTGAGCTGGCCAGACCAACTCTAAGGCACTATTTATTGTGGGACATGTTTAATAGTATGAAAGTCCCTCAGGAGTGTCCTACTGGGTGTAATAACTTCTTGCACCTCATCCAGGTACCTTTACCTCATTGGGCTTTTGGGGGACTAAAATCACAAATGGCTACCTTCAGTGGCCTGCTGGGCCCATGGTGGCCCTAGCCATGCCCATCTAGGCTACACAGGAAGGAAAGGGTAGGAACAAAGAGGGAAACCCTTGCCCTCCAAAGAGGGTATTTGCTTTTTCCACCAGGCTTTGTTGGCTCCAGAGAGTAGATGTGTGGTTTCTGTTGTTCTACGAACCCTAGATGAGAAGTCAGGACCTGTCTCTGTGTTCTAAGTGCCACCAAACATAGCTCAAGGGAACTATGTCTAATCTCACCTCATCCCCTGTGCTCCGGAGTGGGGGGTGGAGGGGGCAGACCAATGTCTAACACTCGTAGGATTCTGTCTCCTAATATTCCAAACCTCTATCTTTATCTTTTCAGTTCCTTTTACATCTTCTTGATGGCAAAATATGCCAACCCAGTTCTATTGCATTGGTCTCTTGGTGAAGACTGACAATGTTACTTGAGAAAAATGTGCCTCATCTTCCCCAATTGTTGCTGGGGGTGGAGTCCTTGTGATATCCTAAGAAAAGAAATTTTCTGAGACTCACATGGAAGAATGAGTGATTTTTATTTGTGTGGAATTACACCCCTGGGTTTCCAAAGTCCCATTTCCCTTAGTCCAGTCATAGAGGAGTAGCTGGGGTTTCAGCAGGGCTGAAACCACAGCCAGTGTCCAGAGTTTCTGTTCCATGTTATGGCTGGGTCCAGTACCGCACTAGGTTAGCTGCCCTCCATTAGTCCATTGTGTGGGGGGGTCTGCATGGCCGTGGGCCACACGGTGAAATGCCTGGAATCCTAGGGTGAGCCATGAGCCAAGCATGCCAAGAGAAACCAAGAGAGTGAACTTTTGTTCAGGGAATTAAGTATCCCAAAGCTTCCCACACTTGCAGTCACCACGCCCATCTCTGTCCCCAGCTGTGATTGACAGGCGAGTATCATCCCCCATCTCGTTTATCATGGTTAGTCAGTTTCAGACTCTACCACAATAAATGAATTTCCACAAAGTAGGATTCTTTATTTATATACAGTCGTCCCTTGCCACTTCGCACTTCGACTTTCACGGCTCCACTCAATCGCAGTTTTTTCAAATATGGTATAGTGGTGAGGGAAGACCATGTCATCCCAACTTTACTGGGATGGGTCAGTCTTCCCTTTGTCCAGTCCCCTCCCCAGTGTTTTGCAGGGAACATACCTATCATGTCTGGCCTGGTCTTCTCTTGGTTTCTTTCCCATTATTAATAACTAGCTAATATAAAGGTATCAACAGCACTCCCTGTGTAGTTTGGCATTCGGAGTCTTTGTTCTTAGCTTAATAGTAGAACTCCAAGCATCTTTGTTTGATTTTGGTTGCTGGGGAGGGGCCAGCTGGTAGAGAAGCAGAAAGTTGTTTTTTGTTTGTTTGTTTTTTTATTGTTGACAGTATTGCACATATCTCCTATTTTCTCCCTTTTTGCCCTTCTCCACCCAACCCCCGCCCCACCTCATAGTGTTACCTGTGTCCATGGGTTATGCACATGTTTTTTGGTTAATCTCTTCCTGTCCCCTCCATATTACACTCTTAACTTACTAAGCAGCCCCAACTTGGTAAGCACACAATAATTGTAAGCAGTTATTAGCCATTATATTGAAATTTTAACATATAAAGCTTCTGGCCTAAGATGCCTACAAATGTGCAGTCTTCAGGGATCCCAAATCTTTTCTAAACTGTGAGCTTCTCATGGCAGTCCACATGGCCATTGCAGAGACAGTAATGTCCTTGTCTATCACATACCAATAAGGTTGCCCCCTTTAGCAAATAAAAATAGAGGACACTCAGTTAAATTTAAATTTCAGGTAAACAATAAGTACTTTTTACAATATAAACATGTCCCATCCAGATAAATGATGTACACTTTTTTTTCGTAGTATAAATATGTCTTAACTATCACAAGGATATCCTGCATTTCGTCTGACATCCCTATGTGCCAAGCACCCACCCTCCTTGACTGATGGTTTGAAATAGATTCTTTTTTCCCAGATGGGAAGGCTACTCCCACTTGCCACATTGCACCAAGGCTGTGTCTATCAAAAGCTAAGTAACAACCTTTAAAAAATTAAACGAAAATGGTAAGAATTGAGCATGAAGGAGAATGTGGCCAATTATTTACATTAGTCCCCTCATGTCAGTTCATAGCACCAAACTGAGTGCTTTTTCAGTGACAGGGGATGAAACGGGAATAAACTATCTGTGTTTCTATGTTTGGATCTGTCTGGTCCCAAAGAGTCTTAGTACCTTGAAGTCTTAGAACAAGCTCTGTTTACTTTGTAAGTATAAGGAATATATCAACCCTTTGAAAGAACTTCTAATTAAACTGTTGGAGCTTTGATGTCAGACTTGGAGATTAGTATTCCATCTTTTTTAAAGATCCAATATCTTGTGCCTCTGGAATGGGAAAAATATGCTGGTCTCTACAGACAGTTATTACATTTAGAAAATATTCATTTTAAATTTCAAATTATTACCACATGATAAGGTGCTTTTAGTGCATCAATCTCAACTTTTAAAATGTGCTCTCAGAGAACTGCCCTATCCCTGACTTTTGTGTTAACAGTGACCATCACTGGTATTGGTTTCTGTGTAAAATCAGTGGTTGCGCGTTCCTCCTGGAAGCAGCTGAGACTTCAAGAGGGGATGAAAATCGTTTCTAATACAAAATATTTTACAAGAGTTCAAGGGAGAGAACCAACGTATTTTGAGTGTCTATTATATGGGACTCTGTACTTCTCATGTATTTCTAATCTAACCAACAACTTGCTGAGACAGGGTGCTGGAGGTGAGTACTTTTGCTGTTATCATAAATTTGTCCGATTCTGAAGCACCTCATTGCACTTCCTTTTCAATTTTCCTTACAGCTTTCACCTGCAGCTACTTTGTTTTTCAGAAGGCCTCCAAGCAAAACCTAATGCTACTGAATCCACTTCTAACTCTGATAATATAGGTGGTAATTTCTTATATAGTTAACATTTCTTATTTTTCTTGATGGAAGTATAAATTTCCAATACTATTTTCAAAATACATTTTTTATACAAGTATGCTTATTTATCTGTACATACTCGCCTAACATCACATGGACTATGTATTTAATGTTATGTTTAAAATGTAAAGAAAATTGGAATCTGAAGAGGCCAACCCACCACTCAGTGAAAGTATTACACGGACAACATCCTTACTTCTGTTTGAATATTTTAGTGCTGTGAGGTTCATGAGTTTTCAAATTATTCAATTAATAGACAGAAGCTTGAAATTAAGTGTATATATTGAAGTGGTATTTACTTTCTAGAAACTTTTATTTATAGATTCTAGTTCTGTCCTCTGGAGCCATGTGAATAAATTTAATCTTTCCTCATACCCAACCCAGGTGCTTTGTTGGTAAACTAACTTTTCAGTTCTTTTATACCTGGACATCTTACTATTTGACCTGTAAACAGAGGACGGTATTAAAATGGCTTTGAAATATATATATATATATATTTATATATCTCAAAACAGTGACATGTTACAAATACATTTAAGAGATAAATATATATTTCTTTACCCCTATATGTATACACACACATACATATACTAACATATTTAGTATAACATATACTGATATGTTTTCTATTAAATAGGAGAATGAACTAGAAAGCAAATGCCTCTATTCAGTTGTCTTTTCACTACATTCCCCTTAGAACTAAGTAAGCTAAGTAATCCTAGTCCATGGGGCTCTGTTGAGTTTTAAGTACACTCCATGTGTTAAATAGTATTGGAAATTTTTTTCCCTTCAGAAATGATCTTGTCCTATGTTCGAGGGTTTCCTCTGTAAAACCAAGTACATTTGGTATGTTGTCACTCAATTATAAATTGATCTGTTTTTATCGTGTTTCCATGTCTCTTCCACCGCAGATCATTTTCCGTAAAATCAGCGACGTGAAGAAAGAGGAGGAGGAACGCCTCAGGCAGAAGAACGAGGTCACGCTCAGCATCCCAGTGGACCACCCGGTCAGAAAGCTCTTCCAGAAGTTCAAGCAGCAGAAGGAGCTGCGGAATCAGGGGTCAACGCAGAGCGACCCTGAGCGGAACCAGCTGCAGGTAGAGAGCCGCTCCTTGCAGAATGGAGCGTCCATTACCGGCACCAGCGTGGTCACCGTGTCGCAGATCACACCCATTCAGACGTCTCTGGCCTACGTGAAGACCAGTGAGTCCCTCAAGCAGAACAACCGCGATGCCATGGAACTCAAGCCCAGTGGCGGGGCTGACCCCAAATGTCTGAAAGTCAACAGCCCGATAAGAATGAAGAATGGAAATGGGAAAGGGTGGCTGCGACTCAAGAATAGTATGGGAGTCCAAGAGGAGAAGAAGGAAGACTGGAATAATGTCACGAAAGCTGAGTCCATGGGGCTGTTGTCAGAGGACCCCAAGGGCAGCGACTCAGAAAACAGTGTGACCAAAAACCCATTAAGGAAGACAGATTCTTGTGACAGTGGGATTACAAAAAGTGACCTTCGTTTGGATAAGGCCGATGAGGTGCGCAGTCCGCTAGAACACAGCCCCATTCAGGCTGATGCCAAGCACCCCTTTTATCCCATCCCCGAGCAAGCCTTACAGACCACGCTGCAGGAAGTCAAACATGAACTCAAGGAGGACATTCAGCTGCTAAGTTGCAGAATGACTGCCCTGGAGAAGCAGGTGGCAGAAATTTTAAAAATACTCTCAGAAAAAAGCGTACCCCAGACCTCTTCTCCCAAATCCCAAATGCCGCTCCAAGTACCTCCCCAAATACCATGTCAGGATATTTTTAGTGTATCCAGGCCTGAGTCACCTGAAACTGATAAAGATGAAATTCATTTTTAATACACACACACACACACACACACACACTCACTCACACTTATATATATTTGTTAATATCTTAAAAACAGTATATACATCTATATACAGAAGTGTGTATATACATATATATTTTCACTTGCTTTCCATATGATGAACACAATATGGATTTTGATATGTACATATTGCATGTCCAGCTGGATTCTGGCCTGCCAAAGATGATTATTCAAAACATAGATAGCGCTTGTATATTATGCAGTTGACTGCATGCACACTTTACTTTTATTTATAATCTCTATTCTATAATTTTTAAAACGGATGAATTTTGTTCATCACGGCAATGTAATATTGAAGAATCAGGGTCCAACCTGCCAATGTCGCCATGACAAACTTGATCTCAGGCTGAGTAGGTCGCGCTATCATTTCCTCGCTGTTCTGTTGAATTAAAATGATAGATTAATGCCAAGGAAGAGTTCAACCTTATAAACTCTTAGTACCATTTTATGATCTCTTTCCTTAGGATATTTTTCTGTAACCTAGCGTTCGGTTATTTTTCCCAACAGGCAGTGTTTTCTCCATTTAAACGACCGTTTTGTTGCCGAAGTGAGCGAGCAGTGTGGGGTATGGAAAAATGATTGCTATGGGTTTTGTGCATGAATTGCATTTTTGCTCAACTATACCTCTTCTTTTTCAACATTATACTTAGATAGAAATCATGAACTCCAATGTAAGGACCCCCCTCTCCCCTCCATCTTGGAGAGCAGCTGCTATCTTGCCAGCTGATTTTATCAACTCCATAAATACTGAACTATTAATATAGTGTATATTATTATAGAAATACTGCACCACAGGGTAAAAGGGCCTTTTAACGATTCATGTTAGGGATGCTGATTTTCCGAAGGTGATGAATGTTCTAAATGTGTGTTTCTAAACCTGGTTCAAGGGTGAAGTTAAAAGGCTCTTAGCAAAGAAACAAACAAGAAACAGTTAAGTAATTATATCAAAATTTTAACTATAATGATATAAAATAAAAAAGAATGTAAACAGTCAAGTTTTTGTAATATCTATAACTTAGGGAAAATGAAATGCAGGTACGAAATTGCTCACACACGATTCTCACTGTGTGTAGCAATAACACATGAAATGTGGTTAAAAAGACAACTAAGAAGTAGATGTTAAGTTGCTCAACTCAGATAACTGCTTTTCTATAATTTTATTCTGGTTACAATTTTCTAAAGCCTTTTTGCACACAGTTCTACTGCTGGACTTCTGCTGAGTTGATACAATAGCTAGACTACCGAGGCTCAGGCAGATCCACTTATGAAAGGGGGGTACTGGAGGCTGAATTTCAGAGTCTTTTGGGTCACAAACCCTCTTAGAAAGTGCCTATTATCAACTAAAAAAAGTCACAAAGAGTTGTGTATAGCTAGTCTTGTAAATGATATGTATTGGGAATCAAATACATGTTCATTTCTAAGAACACAGAAAAATCTATTTCTTTTGACTAAAGGATATTTTGTAAAGTTGATTCGTGAGACATACTCTCAAATGGATGCATGCATGACATTTAACAGTGGGAGCAGGGCAGTTAATGTTCGCATCAAGTTGAAAACATATACCAGTTGAATTTGTACATTATCAGACCATCTGTACACATAGGTTAACAAGGTACACAAGATGATAGCAAAATCAAAAAAGATATTTTGATCTACTGTACCCATTTTTACAAGCTTTTCTAACCTTCTCCCTGCATCCCTAAACAAAACACTAGAACCAAAAGAAAGACAAGTCATCACCATCAGACTGGAGAAGTACAAAACAAAGTAATTTATAAAGATAGCTGCTATTTTAGAGTTTGTATTAGAACTTTCTCACATGCCCACAAGATGTGCCTCTTTCATTCAGGAGTCTCAGAACAGATGGTATGTGCCATGAGTTTCACTGTCCTCCCTGTGTGCCCACACCTTTCATTGCCCACGATGGAAGTTTCCAGGGCAGTATGCCTCCATGCTATGCTACAATATCTACCTACCATGGTGTAAGGTGTCAGCCTTAAAATTGGGATTTTGTTGCTTTCATGGTGAGGAGGGTACTTTTTTCTTGACCTCTGACATTTTATTAAATTTCAGGGTATTTTTCTATTTAGCTAAGTGAGAGACAAGCTTGGCTAAGCTTTTAAAGGTGGATGAGTGGTTCCAACAATCGGAGTACAGAAATGTTCGGTTTAACTTCAGCCATGTGCTTAAAAAACAACAGTTGCTGTAAAGGTGGAAGTGAATGACTGTGGGGCAGCGGGCAGTGCAATGCCGCGATCCACACCTTGGCGTTAGTGGGGCATCTACTTGCTCTGTTCTGGTACTGACTCAGAATTTCCCCAACCTGACCAGTAATGTTGTTGTTCACATGTATGGGAAAGAAACATGTGGTTTTGAACTACTGCAAGTTGTCACAAAGAGGGGAAAGGTATCAGCTGCTTAATTATGGTACAGTATTCTTTTCCAGCCACCTCTGTTCCAGTTTGCATGATGATGTTTCCAGCAGGAATGCATGTGTTCAGCAAACACTGTACATAGAGTAGCCTTTTAGGTTCCCAGAGTCCACAATTCTTAGCAGTTGGACTTACTCAGATTTGAATGAGGGGTGAGCACTGGCTTTAATATGTGCAATAATGATGCAATCACGTTCTGTGTTGCCTCAACCGGCATAGACTGTCAATTCTCTTTGAGGGGACCAGATGACTGCATGTTTTATTCTTACACTGTATAGATGCTCTTGGTGCATTCAGAATAAAGTTTTATACTTCTGGACAATGTACTAATAGGAGTAAATAAATAGGTATTTCAAATCCAAACATTTCCAAAGCAACTTACACACCTTCAGTATTTCTCTATAAGATCAGATGCTGTACCCTGGACAGGTGGTTTTAACACAATAGTGAAAGTCAAACAGAAATGGAAATGTGAACTGTGCAATATAACGGCAAGTTTTATTCGCCTGTTTTAGGATATTTTTGCACTAAATGTGCTCTAGTAGATAAAGGAGCTTATAATAAAAGGCAAATAGGCACACAAAAGGCAGATGACAATACCAAAGTTGATAGTGTCCCACAATGACATAAGTAGTACTTAACGGTGATTTAGGCGTAGATGTTGAATAGAGACACATACTTCATTATTAAAATGGAAGAAGTTTATTATGGATAGTGGTTTCATCTCACATTAAATATAGAAATACAAATGTCCCAAGTATTTATGTAGATCAGGCAAGAGAATTAGAAAATCTTGGGTTTTAAATTGCTCCTAAGAACACATATATACTCCTGGGGTACCCAGCACTTTGATAGGAATATGAATTATGATCACTAACTAAAGTGTTATTTTGAAATGTAATCTTATTGGAACCCAAAGGCAAATCATGGTTTCCCTTAAATTTAAGGAGGCTGTGAGATCTGGTCCATATGTTGTTCTATTTAAATAACTAAAGTATTTTAGAAAACCCTGTTTTTTAAATTAGTCTTCAGAGCAATGACTGTTTTTGAAGTGTGCACTGGCTGGTACTGGTGAAATTATTTGTCATATTGCTAATAATTCTACTTGTATAATTTTTACCTTTTAAGCTATTTTATCTATTTCTTTTCCAAAATTTTATGTAGGTAATGAGAAAATTTGTCTAGAATGTACATATATACATGGACAACTTTATGAATATTTTGTAATGATGTGAATGTTGTATTTTAATATTTTGTTATGTATAAGAGTATTTCTTCTGTGGTCTTGATGGAAAGGGATAGAAGAAAGATCAGTCTTTTGGAAAACACCGTAGAATGACTATCTGAGCTCCGTCTCGGATTCTAAATCTAGCTTTGCCATAAATGCAGTGTAACTTTGGGCAACATACCATTTTGTCTTGTTTTGGTATGTCTGGGGCTTCAGTTTCTCCTCTAATAAATAACAAAATGAAGAGCTGCTCCTTTCTTATATCAAGGTAATGTTAAGTGATGAAAATCATCTTCTTCTCAAATGAAAATCACATTAGGACACATTATCATTTTGCCTTTCTTTCATAGGAGATTAGCCAACATGTGCTTTCCAGATACTCTAGATTTTAGAGGGGACTTCTTTGGTCAGAGGTTGGTTGGGAAAGGCATGGGGGCTAAATAATCATTAGTCAGTGGCATGTGAGCAAAAGACTTGAAAATTACCTGGGAATTTATAACCACAAATCAAATAAACATGCTAAGAATTAAGCCCTTTTGAGGGAAGAGATGGGAAGATATATATAAGTATAATTTATTTTTTTCTTACTCTACATGGTCATAGTGCTCAAAAGAAAATTTCAATTTTGTGAGAAAAGTAAACAAATTTGTGAGTATTGAAAGTATAGGGCAGTTCATCTTTCAACTTTTTGTATAAAAATAATCATGACTTGGTCAAGATATGTGGTTCCACAATGGCTGGTGTTCTTATAACCGAATTCTTAATATTTAAAGAATCTTTTCCAATGACCAATCACTTTTTCAATGTGTACCTTCAACTGAAAAAAAAAAGTTAAGAAAAAGGTTTAAAAACAAGACAAAACAAAACGTTTGAATTACATTTATAAACCACTCAAGTTATTGTGTCCTAAGTGAGATGTTTGAATTTTAAAATTTAGAATATGTGATTAATAATATTGGGAGCTCCAGGAAGCCACTTTTAGCATGTAAACATTTTATTTTTTAAAATGAGATTTATTTTGTTAACATTTGCTCATTCTGCAGACATCCTTGTGTCCTCAGGGATACACTCAAACCTGCAGTCACTTCATTTACTGTGACCCTTTGGGTAAAGAACACATAGAAACAAAGGAGAAAATTTTATGCACCAGAAGAGAAAGTTAGATCTCTTTTGGGATTTTGTAATCTTTCCATCAAGCCAGAATTTAAATACTGTTATACAGATTAGGATTTAGATATTATTTTGAAAGCAAACACCATTTCTCAAGTTAAAGAACAGTTAGTTATAAATGCCTGATACATTCAAGAAGTATTAAA